ATAGAACTATGACGAGGTACACCTCATGATCTCATGATAGAACTATGACGAGGTACACCTCATGTTCTCATGATAGAACTATGACGAGGTACACCTCATGTTCTCATGATAGAACTATGACGAGGTACACCTCATGTTCTCATGATAGAACTATGACGAGGTACACCTCATGTTCTCATGATAGAACTATGACGAGGTACACCTCATGTTCTCATGATAGAACTATGACGAGGTACACCTCATGTTCTCATGATAGAACTATGATGAGGTACACCTCATGTTCTCATGATAGAACTATGACGAGGTACACCTCATGTTCTCCTGATAGAACTATGACGAGGTACACCTCATGTTCTCCTGATAGAACTATGACGAGGTACACCTCATGTTCTCACCACACCCCAGGCCCTACTGGCACAACTCTCTCTGACTATGCCAGTTCAGCTGCACACAAGCAATAAAGAAAAAAATGGCAATAATCCTAAACCATTAAAGGCTGCAGAGATCAGCACTTGTGAAACTTTCCAACCAGCACCTTTAATTTCCATACAGTTTGGTGTTGAGTCAATGCTTGTGCTGCAATAATTAGTCCTGAATGAGAGTGGGTTTGGAGTTGAGGGGGATTGCCTGAAGGTTGAATACTGGAATAGTAATATTGCTTGAGATGCTCCTCCCTATGAACCACTGATAAATATCTGAGATTGGAGCTGTTATGGGATTGCACCAGTCCACTTTGGTGTTGGCCCAGCTATGACTAGCTTTAGCTCATCAGTCCAGTGAGAATTAACTTGTTTTTAAAAGGACATAGTTTAAAGAACTATCTACAACAACTAATAAACTAACTGTTCATAATATTTCAACAAAACTCCACTTTAGATGGTCTGAACTATTATTTTAATTACATAAAACAGTAACACTAATACGCACTTGTTATATTCCAGCTAATGAAGCCTGATACTTCCACAGCAAAGATACTCAGCACCAAGTTCTCAAAGGTTTGAAAAGTACTTTGAACACAAGACATATACCAGTACTGTAAACACTGTTTTCATGTAAAACTTGCACACATGAGATGGGGCGATTGTAATTTTTTTACCATTTCAAGAGCAGAGATCTCAAATCCAGCTGCAGATATGGAGTTGAGAATCTTCCCAGTCAGACCTGTGAACACATTTAGATTAGCTGGCTTTCACAAGCTTTTATAAGTAGAGAAAGATCTTCATGTGATGGTAGTTGAAATGTATTTGTGCAAGTGCTCCTGTTTAGATATCAGCAATGACCTCAGTTTCTCCTTTGGACAAAGTAAGATTGTCTCACCGATGTGTTGTCTAATATGAAGACAACATTTTTGTTCGGTCAAACCTTTTAGAGAACAAAGGGTAAAAGGTTGTAAGTGTTTAGAGAACGAACCGCTGAGTCACAGTGGCCAAGCATCATGTAAAAACACTGCAGCTTCAGTGATGAACGCACACCAGTGACAGTGAAGGTCAGACTGCTGCAGACGCATAATTGAATCAAGGCGCCAGACTCATAATCTCTGTCTGACGTCCTGATAAAAAAGTAGTCCGTGTTCTCGTCCCACAGGACACTTCCCATTAACTCCAAACACTGCAGCGTGCAGCGTGACTTTCATTTTAAAGCAGGTGTTGTGGGCGTCGGTGAACTTCTCCCTGCCTGTGTCACAGCCCAGTTTTGTGTATTAGGTAATAAATCACCCCTGAGTCCTCTGTCAGACAGAAACCTGCCCGGGATAGACACACGCTCGATGCAGCTGCTGCTGTTGCTAGGAGATCCTATTCTGGGCGCCTGGCAACAGAAGCTCCTCTATCCCCGTCGTGTCTGAGTGAATTTGCAGTCACGACTTCCTTTACGGCTGCTGTGATAGGCCGGGTCCAGGAGACGTAATGGCCACGCAAATTAGCCAGTTAAGTGATTCTCGAGGGAAAATCGGAGCAAGGCTTCTGGTACAACTTGTCCTCCGCTGGGCCAATGGCTCAGTCTGGTTTACTATTCTTTGCTCACACTGAATGCACCACAGCTCTGAAGGTAAACACTGTGAGGTCACGTCTAGAGCAGCAACGCAGCTAATACTTCTGGAGATTTCACCGATAAATCACCTGCAAACTTTCATGATAATTAGCTCAAATACACTTCAAGCTTCCCGTCAATGAAAGTAACCACACAAGAGGTTATCCCATTTTTAGTTAACTAATTTGAATTGTTAACATTTCCTCAGAAATTAAATACAAATAAGACAAAGAATGTGTGATTGCACAACGTACTGAGGCTTAACAACGCAGCTCTTGCTAAACAATGTCAGCTAATTGCTACTGAGCTCAGTGAGGAAACCCTGAGATACTGAGCACATTTGTGTTTAGATACAGACACACAACTGTAGAACAATATTCAACGTTTATCACTCACTGCCATGATTACGTATATGGCGTTGCCTGTGTATGTTAGCAAAATATCCCGTGAACTGATTTGATTTTAATAAAACTCTCAGAAGGAAACATCAACTGTATTACTACAATCTACTGCCAGTTCAAGATGGCCACCACAGCTAACCAACTTTAGCTAACACAAAACTGGTTAAAACTCAGTCAGTTTCACAAAAACTTAATTAAAATGTGGTGTGTTCATAGCTGAGAGACATCTTCTGTATAAACTCCATGCGCTAACAATATCTGTTTAAAACTGTGTCATGCAGGGCAGCAGGTGATATTAGTCCTTGAAGAAAAGCTACTTTGATTTAGTGTGTGCACGACTAAAGCACGCATGAAACTTCACGTTGCACTGGATTTCAGCTGTTTTATCCACATGGCTCTTTTCTTAAATCACTAAAATCAGTTTAACCCAAATAGATCTGCTTCAAGTCCAAGTGCTTCAAAGCTAACGCAACACAAGACACAGCTTTTGATAAACTTCACACACCACCACGTGTCTCTTGATAAAAGCAGTTTCACTGTAAATTGTCAGGAGCTAACGATTGAAGCTGTCAGTACGCGGTGGTATTTTTCACTGAACAAACATTTGAATGCGAGCGTTAGGATTGAGGTCATTTATCACTGCAGCTGATTGCAAATTCAACTGTTGCTCAACGCTGCCTCGCAGACAAACAAAGCACCTCTTACTGCCCTCTCTGTCGTAAGCAGCAGTTTAACATGCCCCAGCAGGCGCACATGGCTGTAACCACAGAAATAACACGTTAGGTGTGGCAGGAAGTGGTGCCAAAAAGCAGCGTTTCCAGAGTACGAGCACTGAATGGTTTTTTACTGGTTAATGTTGTGGTCATAGCTCAAGATGGCGCTGACAGGACGATTAAAACAACCCCGAAAAGATTTATGAGCATGATTATATGTATCAGTATGTGGCTGCCCACTGCTGAAAAGTCAGGCAATAATATTTGTGCCTGTCTGTTTGTTAGCAAAGTATTTCATGATCCACTGAATGGACTGAAACGAAACGCCCTAAAAATGAATGTAAGCTGATTCAAGATGACCAACTAACCAACCTTACATGTGACCAAAACAGCTGTAACTGCATTATTTTCAACATAAAATGATCTTGGTTTAAAATGTGAAAGTTGGCAGAAGATAATTATTCCTTTAAGAGAAGCCAAGTATTTTATTACAGGTATTTGTATAAATATTTATACTGGTTGCGTAAATAAAATGTAGATTTTCTTCATCAAAAGTTTCAGCTCACAATATTACTGTTTGACTTTGTTATTGGGCGGCACAGTGGCTCAGCTGGTAGAGCTGCTGCCTCTCTGCGAGCAGGTCGCCAGTTCAAATCCCGGTCCAGGGGCCTTTCTGGGTGGAGTTTGCATGTTCTCTCCGTGCATGCGTGGGTTTTCTCCGGGTACTCCGGTTTCTTCCCACAGACCAAAAACATGCATGTTAGGCTGATTGGTAACTCTAAATTGTCTCTAGGTGTGAGTGAGAGAGTGAGTGAATGTTTTTTTTGTCTCGTTTGTCTCTATGTGTCTATGTGATGGACTGGAGACCTGTCCAGGGTGTCCCCCGCCTATCACACAGTGACTGCTGGATATGGGCACCAGTGACTACCGTGACCTGAAAAGGAAGCAGCGGGTAAAGATAAAGAATGGATGGATGGATGGATGGATGGATGAATGGATGGATGGATGGATGGATGGTTGGATGAATAGATGGATGGACGGTTGGATGGACTTTGCTGTTGAAAACTGAGGGAGTCAAGGACCTGAACGGGAGTCTACAGCCAGGCTAAAGGCTTCATGAGGTCATGTTGAGAGCCTCCATGTTTGCAGCAACACATGATGTTTGACTCAGATTAGCTTGTTGTCGTCATTCTGTCGTGTACTAAAAAGTAACAAACACTAAACACAACTATGATGAATGTCACTGTTAGATCTGAAAGTATGTGGTGAAAAATGCTGGTGCTGGTACTAGAGGACAAGTTGAAGCCATCGATGTCAAACCTGAAGCAGCAGTAAAAAAAGAGAACTAGGTCCATGAAGTCCTTCGGATGAAGAACGAAACATCTGAACAATAAACAGAAACCGTCCAGATGACCTGACTGAACTTTGTTGGAGAACTAGGTCCAGATCAGATGAATAACCACCAAGAAGAAAGACTCGAGCTAAAACGCTGCAATAAGATTTCAGTGGCTCTCTGTTGTGATGAACTCATGCAGGTCCACCTTCAGCTTTGTGTGCTTACTGCAGCTCTGCTCATTGAATTCCACATTTCACAGCTCAGAGCTCCGGTGGCATGCCCCACCAACAGGGATCAAGCCAGGGATTTGGAAAAATCCAGGGCCATTTTGGTAACCGCATAGTGTCTTTGTGTGGCACAAAAATGTTAACAGCTAGACCTGGAGGGGTTTTTTACTAAACAGCTGCGTTCTTAGAAAATACCCAGAAAAACCTCCTCCTGATTCTAAAGTTTGAATGTACATAAGATTGTTTTATTAAATCACTGAGTCCTCAACAAGTTGTAAATGAAATGTGTCAAATAAAACCAAATAAGTCGACCAGTACCGTTTTTGTTCAGAATTAAAAGCCAAACTTTTGTGCACATTTTACAAAAGGATCATATGATGCTGAGAAATGATGGAGCTGTAGATGTTTGGGTCAAGCCTTGAAAATAACTTTTGCATGTTCTGACGTGTTATAAACATGTTTTGAATGACTCTCAGCTACTACCACACCAAACTTTACCTCCATATTGGTAAACTTGACTAAGTTTAACTGTTTTTGTTTGCTACGTTTTCAATTAGGTTGGTTATTGTAGACGTGCACCCACTGATCACTCTCTGAGAGTTTTGTTAAATCTATCCTGTGGTTGATTAGATATTTTGCTAACAGACAATGAACCCACACAGACTTAATTACCCTTTTGCGTTTGGCAGTAGGCAATAAAAACAAACTTCGTTTGGGCACGGTTTTTAAACGTGTGCTTACCTTCTGATATGGCATGAGGTTTGATGATGCAACACGTGCAGTCTGTGAACGTGGCCGTGTTGGAGGTACCGTGGCCGATTGTTGAAGGGAAAAAGAATTCAAGCTCCTAGCAAAACAGACAATTTTTGTGAGCATAATCCTTTCTGGGAATGTGGAGCTTGTGCTACTGAGGGTGCATGTGAGCATGAATAAAGTTGGGGGATTAGCTGAAACTCCTCACTCTGGCTGCTGCAGAGAGGGAGTCGGAGCCGTGGCCCACGTTTCTGATGACATCTGTTCCGAACTGAGCACGGACGCTCTGCGGTGCCTCCTTCCGTGCCGCAGCCGAGTCTGCAGGCCCCAGAAGCCTCCTCCAGATAGACATGGCCTCGTCGCCCATCAGCTCCATGGCAACCACAGGGCCCGAGGACACAAACTGCACCAGGTTACTGAAAACAGAGCAACGTGCTGATTTAAACAGAAACGCAGTGAAATGTCACCGCGGAGTCATTCGGATCATTATCACAGGCTCTGGTAATGATGGCTGCTTCTTTGCTCTGAGCTGGCAAATCATTTACACGGGCACTCACTTAAAGAAAGGCTTTGACTGATGTTCCACATAAAAGTCTGCCGCTTGGCTCCTGCAACGAAACAAAACCATAAACTAAAGTTAATCTGTGACCAGATGATCTCCCACTTTAAAGTGAACTCTGTGTACCAGATTATTGTCACTGGGAGCAGTTCATGATAGCGCTGGGCTTCAGCCTCTTATCTGGTTTGGAAGGAAACGAATTGCAGGCAGAAAATAAAACAGCAGCTTATGAACAAGGTCATTGTTTACTACTTTTACACTTTCAGGGTGAACCATGTGCTTCTCTCAGGGGATTCTGCATTTTCCAAACTCGGTTTAACCGCTGGTAGCTTGGACAAAACTATGAAACAATAAAAACATAGCTGCCATTTGGTAGATGCAAGAAAAAGAAGGGATCATTGATAAATTATGAGAAAAAAGAAAGAATGCATCATAAAAGAGAACTACAGAACGATGCCAGCACCTCCGCCTTCGCCTTTGGGGCTTGGGAGTTTCTCCACCCAAATAAAGATGGCTGCCACAGCTAAACTAACTTAGCCAACACAAAAATCCCTCTAATTCTACTGATCTTTACCTAAACTCTGGGGAGGTAGTAGTTGAGGGTAATCCTCCACAAATATTGTGTCTGGGTCACGGTAGCTCAGTGGTTAGTGCTGCGGTCTTGCAATCCTGAGGCTGCAGGTTCAAGCTCAGGTTGCGTCAGGAGACACACGAGGTGTAAATGATTGACAGATGTTTTGAGCAAAGTGCGCTCTGTGTGGCGACCCCTGAAGGCAGCAGCCAAAAGAAAAACAACAGTTTGGGAAAAGTCTTCTCTCTTTTAAGACTGATTGCTGGTGAGAAGATTAACCTAAAAACATGCCTAAAACTTTTAGAAACACTAGAACGAGTCCTAAATTCAAAGTCCACTCAGCTTAGCTGCGGTAGGTGCTCTAACTAAAGCCAGATCTATCAAACTGAAGGTAAACTGACGATTGTATTATGATTGAGCACAAAATAAAAAGTTAAATAAATGCTAAACGTCTTGTCTCTTGGCATGCCATATGTTGTCACCTGGAAGAAACTGGTCATCTATGAGTTTATATAAAATACTGCCTGAGAGGAGCTCGTCTGCTGGATGACTATGACGTGGTTGTGTGATTGGATGGTGCAGGAGGAAGACCTTACCATGTCAGCTTAGTCATTTTTGCTTTGGTCACAATAAGGTTGGACGAGTAAATCGAGTCAATGACATCTCCAATCTTGGTAACCACATCCGGCTTTATCAAAGCAAGAGTTCTGGGAAAAAAGACAAAAAAAGTGAGAATGAACATAAAATATCACAGCATCAAGCACAAACATGAGCACACGCTGTATTTTGGTTCACGCCTTGGATTTAGCTGAGCTGAGAATCTTTCTGAAGTGTTTCCTGTGGTGTGTTTGTTTCCAGCTGGAGGCTGTGATGGTGACAGAGAATGTTTTGGTAGGTATGACCAGTGAGGTTCTGAGTGCTGACAGACTGCATGAGATTTAGCATTTTCACAATTTATCCATCGTTTCTCAACAAGATGGCCTCACACTCTGCCATGCAGGGCAGTAGGTGACTCTTTCAAAGAATGCTGGGCCTTTAACTTAGCTCTGTTAGCAGCTCTAGAGAAAACCCCGTTAGTTTTAAATCCCTTCATTTCACAATTCAATGAGACCAAAGTTCCCCGGGAACATTTGAAGTGTAAAAAAAGGTTTTAATGCCTCGACACTTTTCATTGTAAAAGTCCACAGAAAGTTTGTGGCCTGCTTTCTGTAATGACAAGCAGCGTGAACCGTGTGACCTGCAGATATACACGAGTGTGCCTTCCAGAAAGATAACGAGCCTCTTCAGTTTGCTGCAGACTGACTCTAAACGTCTCTTACCTTTAGGATAATACAGACAAACGATTATCTTTTGGAATGCCTCTGCAACGAGTAAGAAACTTTTGACAAACTCAGGTTTTTATCTAAACAACACTTCCTGGTACATTTCAAACCAAACAGGATCTTCAGGCAGACTTGTTCACTCACAGGAGAAACTAAACACAGGAGAGCCAAAGCTTCAGGCTCGGCTGTCCAACTACACCTTACAGATTAGGAACAACTCGTTAGTGAGCAGTCATAGGCAGAGACGACTGGTTGTTTGAGAGAGGTCTGAAGGAAGTCTTTATGTAGTTCTACTGGAAAACCAGCACTAAACAGAGGGGGTGGACTCGGGTTTCACTAACACCTAGAATGTAGTCTTGGTTCTCAGGCAGTTTCACAAACATTCAGAGTTTAAAACATGTGCCTGCAACACCTCACGACCCAAACCACTCCCAGGAGGGATGGGTGGGCCAGTCATTCTTGACTTCGAAAACTACTTTATGAAGGTCCCAGTAAAGACTTCAAAACTTGGAGCTCTCAACCCATTATCAGAACTAAAGAAGTCTTTCAGACAAAAAATAAAATATTCAATTCTAGTCAAAAGTTCAATTGTCCCCCTCTTACAATGCTGTGATTGCTAGTATCACTCAGCCCTCTGTGAGTAGTAAACAGCCATCAGTGTGCTAATGATCCATTGTTAGGCTGATGGTCCTTCTTGACCATGTGATCAGCTGGTTTTGGTTGTCAGCAGCAAACTGGTTGATCCACTCTGAGAAGGTGCTATTTAAGAGACTGAGCTGAAAACAGCACCTCAGACTGAGGAAGTCTCTTGGATGAGAGACGAAACGTTTCTACATTTTTTTGTTTTGTTTTCTTGAATGTCCAGAGGACCAGATTGAACTTTTTTAGATTTTTCTACCTGGATTATTGAGCATGCATCAGGATCTAGTCAAAAGTACTTTGTTAATCCCAAACGGAAATTAAATGTTGTAGCTCATAATCCTGGTTTCCATCCAACCAACCACGGTGATTGGATGCATCACAAACAACGAGTCCAGCTACAGGAAGGAGGTGGAACACCTGGAGAGCTGGTGCAGGAAGAACAACCTTCACATCAATGTGACGAAGACGAAGGAGATGATCATGGACTTCAGAAGGAGCAAACACACCTACACCCCTCTGAACATAAGAGGACCTGTGGTGGAAGTGGTCTCCAACTACAAGTACTTGGTGTGCACCTGAATGACAACCTCAGCTGGAGCAACAACACCACCAGCCTGATCAAGAAAGCTCATCAGAGACTCTGCTTCACCTCATGCACCACATGTGATGTGAATGACAGTAAAGAACCTTGAATCCTTTCATTAAAGAGTTGTTCTAGATGCTGATGGCTGTGGGCAGGAAGGGTCTCTTGTAGAGGTCTGTCTTACAACAGATCTGAAGAAACTGGCTGCAGACGTTGATCTGTCCACTTGCACCCAGCAGGTCTCTCAGTCCTCCTGGCAGCAGGACCACCTGAATGCTGGGCAGAACTCCTCCCTGAGCGATGGCCTCTCCTCCCAGCAGCTTTTTGAGCTCCTGATCATTGGGAACAGCCAGCTGCAGGTGTCGGGGATGATCCCGGTCCTCCCGCTGTCACGAGCCACGTTTCCTGCCAGCTCCAGGATCTCAGCGGTCAGGTACTCAAGCACCACTGCCAGGTAGATGGAAATTTATCCACAGCGCCTCCTTTTCAACTCATGTGGGATTTGGGGCTGTAGTTGAGGTAATATTTGAGCTTGGAAATGTTAATCAGCTGCTCCCGGTTGTAAAAGACGCCTTGTTGCTATGGTTACGCATCATGACAAATGTCCAAAAGTAAAAAGGTTTCAGTAAATATCCTTCCAGCTGCACAGCATCCGACACCAGAAGAAATAATCATAAAAAAAGTGATTTACATCAAGAAAAAAGATGAATTAAAGTTTTCAAAAGCAACATCTCAGAATGAAAGGAACAGAGTGGCTCCAACATGCAGCCACCCCGAGCGGCGCAGCTCTAGTACCAGTCTAGAACTTTGAATATCTTCAAATAAGAAGAAGTTGGTTACTTTCATCAAACTCTTAGAATCTGCCATGTCCTGCAACAGCCTGGGACTTTGGGAATGATAAATTAAAGACTTAGCTGTGGTGGCTACCCTCCATCTTGAGCTGAGTTGATTATTTGTAGAGGTCAGTCCAATTATGACTTTTTGAAAGTTTCATTAACGTTTGTTCAGTGATCCATGAGATATTTTGCCAACGGTACAAACACATATTCAAACGCGCAGAGACACGAGCAAAAGCACTTTCAAAGTCTTTCCAATCGTGACGTGCAAGTTCAGTTTGAAGGAATGTATGAATTTTGAGTGCTAGTTCCAAATCCAGGGATTATTTGTCATTAACTTGACTATAATGAAGCTCAGAGCTGTGAGGTACAGTATGTGCAGCAGCCAGGGGGGATAACAGAGACTTAACACACAACCCAACCAATCAGTCATACCTTTCTTTTTTGCTGCCCAGTTTGTTTGCTGTGTACTGGTCTCCATAATCTATCAGATTTAGCTGCCGTGAGAACACGTTCACCCGATTCCCCACAAACAGGTCCTCCTGGTGGATGTCATCGCATTTGGTCCTTCTCAAAAATAGCCGTTGGTTTTTCACGTCATACTGCAAATCCAATGAAAACAGCAGATTGTCATGAATCGGACGTTTTTGTACATGGTTTTTACTTGTTCGTGTCACAGTCAACTGACGCTTTAGCTCCTAATTCTTCCATATTCTGGTTGCTAAGAGTATTTGGGAGATGTTTTCAGATTATTTTAGAACAGCGGCAGAGGTGAATCGGCCATGAGTACTTGTTGCAGTAGTGTGTACCATTGCCACGGAGCTATCTTTGGGGTAGTAGAAGAGCTGGTAGCGCCGCAGCAGACCTGCAGTAGGATCAAACCACTCAGTGAGAAAGGCGAAACGATCCTCCTGAAAAATTCAAATGGACTCAGATAAATGCTACAAAATAAACCATAAACGGACATGAGGACATTACAGCGTTGGCTCAATCACAAATCATTAATACTTGAAGGGTTAAGTAGCACTCCTTATTGGAATGCATACTGCCCACTGCAGAAAAGAGAGTAAAACAGATTTGGTTCAACCTTGAAAATAACATTACCCACAATCCCATGCAACATCTGTTCTGACAGTTAGTGCTCAGAGAGTCATGAAAGACTCAGCTACAACCACATCCGATTTTAGCTGAGCATCTGTAAAAACGACTGTTTTAACAAGTTCTGTGTTGGTTCAATTAGCACGGTGGCGCAACTGGTAGAGCTGCTGCCTCTCAGCGAGCAGGTCCCTGGTTCAAACCCCGGTCCGGGGGCCTTTCTGGGTGGAGTTTGCATGTTCTCTCCGTGCATGCGTGGGTTTTCTCCAGGTACTCCAGTTTCCTCCCACAGACCAAAAACATGCATGTTAGGCTGATTGGTAACTCTAAATTGTCCCTAGGTGTGAGTGAGTGAGAGAGTGAATGGTTGTTTGTCTTGTTTGTCTCTATGTGGCCCTGTGATGGACTGGAGACCTGTCCAGGTGTCTCTGTGATGGACTGAGACCGGTCCAGGGTGTCCCCCACCTCTTGCACAGTGATTGCTGGACATGGGCACCGGTGACCCCCGTGACCCAAAATGGAATAAACGGGTAAAGAAAATGGATGGATGGATGGATGGATGTGTTGGTTCAATTCAATTAGCTGTGGTGGCCATCTTGAATTGGGTTGACTTCAAAAGTTAATCAGTTGAAGGTGTACGTGCAGGGACTACTTTTTTGGGAAGTTCCATTAAGTCTGTGCAGTGGCTCATGAGATATTTTGCTAAGTGACAAACATACACACAGGCAGTGTAATAGTCAGATGTATTGTGAAACACTTTTATATACAGTAGATGTCAGATTCAGAGAAAAATAGGTTCATAAAATTAAACAAACGGAACCTCAGGTTGGTGTTTGTTTGTTTTGGTCCAGTTCTAGTTTTTCTGAATGAAATCACATTGTGAGGTTGTTAATGCTACTTAAATACATGCCTGTTCCCAAAATGTTGTATGCGGGGGACAGGTCTGCACAAACTCTTGTTCCACCTACCGGTATGCTACTGCTGCTATATGCAGTAAAACGTTTTTCAAATCAACACAGCAACATGATCAGATCTATATTTACAGTTGTTTGCCGTGCTTCACTGCTTCTCCAGGTAGGTTTTATGTGGTTTCATGCATCCAGAAACAACTTAACGTTTAAATTCATGTCAGACTATGTTGTTAAAAACAGAAGGCACCTGGAAATTTCCTGCAGAACATTTATAACCTTGAAATGTTTGCTGTAATTGTAACTACTGATAGCAACGATGTATTATTATCTAGTATCAACACAAAGACGAACATTACTGGGTTCACTAAGTTAACCTGAAGCAGCAGCAGACGTAGTTTATTTAAATACTAAATTATAAGAACAAGGGCTGCTCAGCATTCAGACCTAGGCTGTTACCACGGGAGGTTTAAATGACATGGCAGACAATTAGTGTGTGTTATAAAATAAAACAAGGTTACTAACTTATAAGGAAATATGTTGTTCTCCAAAGGATTGTACATTTAGAACATCCATTATTAAATACCGTATTATAGTTCTAAAATAAAATCTGTTGTTTTCTACATGTGGGATGCTGATGCTGCTATGTGACCAAGACACAGATCAGCATCCATCATACATACATCCATACACCCATCCATCCATACATACATCCATCCATCCATCCATCACGCTGCTGCTCGGCTTCTAACTGGAGTTCAAAAGAGGGAGCACATCACCCCCACTCTGGCTTCACTCCACTGGCTGCCTGTTCATTTTAGAGTTCATTTTAAGATTCTTTTATTTGTTTTTAAAAGTTTAAATGGTCTTGCTCCATCCTACCTCTCTGAGCTGCTTCACCCATACTCTCCTGCTCGGTGCCTCAGATCAGCTGATCAGCTGCTCCTGGAGGTGCCGGAGGTCTAAGCGGAGGCTCAGAGGGGACAGAGCTTTTTCTGTTGCTGCTCCCAGACTGTGGAACGATCTCCCTCTTCCCATCAGACAAGCCCCTTCACTGTCCAGTTTTAAAACTCTTTTAAAAACACATTTTTACTCCCTGGCTTTTAGCACAGACTGAATTTGATCTGCACAGTTTTTATTATTTTTATTGATCTTAATGTTTTAACAACTGTTTTTATGTGTTTAAATGTTCTTGATTTTATATGTACAACACTTTGTGGCAGCTGTGGTTGTTTTAAAGGGCTTTATAAATAAAGTATTATTATTATTATTATCCATCCATCCATCCATCCATCCTCTTTACCCGCTTCTTCCTGAATAGGGGTCACTGGTGTCCATATCCAGCAGTCACTGTGCAAGAGGTGGGGGACACCCTGGACTGGTCTCAGCCCATCACAGAGACACCTGGACAGGTCTCCAGTCCATCACAGGGCCACATAGAGACAAACAAGACAAACACCCATTCACTCTCTCACTCACACCTAGGGACAATTTAGAGTTACCAATCAGTCTAACATACATGTTTTTGGTCTGTGGGAGGAAACTGGAGTACCCGGAGAAAACCCACGCATGCACGGAGAGAACATGCAAACTCCACCCAGAAAGGCCCCGGGCTGGGATTTGATCTGACGACCATCTCGCTGAGAGGCAGCAGCTCTACCAACTGTACCACTGTACCGCCACCATATTCCATGTAATGCTAAATTATTTAAAAACTAGAATATTCATAAAATACTGAAATAAGTAATTTAAGAAAAATAAAACAAGGAAAAAATTACATTTCAAATCAAGTTACTAACATCTCTGTCCAGAACTTAAACTTTTTGATGTTGTTTGATTCATTTATTGAAAATTTTAAACCTATAAATGGTGACAATATTTTTTGCCATCATGTTTTAAAGGTTTAACCCAAACAACTAAACTCTGTAATTTCTTAAAAAAAATAAAAAGAAGAAAAAAAACAACAACATTTTAAAACTGGCTCAAAAGGCAGCGGTCAGCATGCATTTGTTTGAGGAATGTAAGGTGTTTAATTAATTCTTGTTTTGAATTTCCACCCCACTGTGTAAGACTAAATCTTTATGCTCTTTTGCACTTCACCAGAACCAGATGTTCACCAGATGTTCACCAGATGTTAAACACCATAGCTAACCAGAGCCTTGCAGCAGCTTCTTCTAACTTTAAATAAGTTAATTGTAGTTTTAGCCATTTTTCATGTCTAAATTTGAGTGATGGAATATTTTTCAGCAAAATGACACTAATAACACTAAGTAACTAATAATATACAGTAAGTAGCTGCTTGTGTAAACTCATAATTTAAACTAATTTTCTACAAATATGAGAGTGGACCTAGCTCGGCATAACTTTATACTACACCAACTTTTACAATGAAACTGAAATGAACCTTACGAAATGAATATTCATGCCAGTTTGCGAGGACCTAGTCTTACCCTAACTAATTAATATATACAGTATTTAGGGGCGGCTGTGGCTGAGTGGTTAGAGCAGTCGTCCTCCAATGGGAGAGCTGCGGGTTCGATTCCACCAGCAGTCACATACCGTAGTGTCCCTGGGCAAGACACTGAACCCCCCCTCATGCCTCCGATGTGTGTCCCAGCGGTGTTTGAATGTGATAAAGCTCTGATTATTCTTTGTATGCATATAGTAGTGCTGTATGAATGGATAAATGAGCACATATTGTAGTGCCAAGCACTTTGTGTATCTTCATAAAAGTGCTATAAGTACAGTCCTTTTACCCTAGCTAATTAATACCCTTAAATCTAACTACTTAGCACTAGAAGTTCTAAAGATAAGTAAAGTGTCTTTACTTGTATACGTTAAAAGTGTAATTTAATTACAAGTCATAACCAGATGTTCAAATGTAGGCAGATGCGTCTACCCCGCAGTGCTACAAAGCTAATAGCTTAGCTTAGAATAAGGTTAGCAAACAACTTCCTGTTTCATTAATTTTACGCGCTAACATTAATTTTAAACCGTACTGTGTTTACACAGCAGTGGTATGAAAAAATAGATTTTAACTTACCATTTAGACAAATTAATTAACGCTACTCGACCCACTACAGACAACAAATATTGAACATTAGCTAGCGCGAGCGAACCTTCGTTTCTATAGTAACAAACCGAGGGGCGTTCAGTGAAAATTGGACGTTCAATATTTAATTTGACCATCTATTCAAATGAGAAACGTGGAGTAGTTTTAATAATAACGAAACTTTAGCGACGATAGTAATATAATAAATGTTGATACAAAATACACTAGTGCCTAACATACACAACAGATGAAACCGTAAGTTTTTCCGAAATAGTAATACAATATTGTAATGCATGTATGTTTCGCATTCTCTCGTTGTTCTCGTTGTACAACCCGCCATCTAGTGGTGGCCTCCGAACATCGTCAGCGTCAGAATCAGCTCTTAGTTGTCAAAATTTCGGATGATCGTAAATGCAACCTTTTGACCCTTACCCGGAACAATAATAAAGCACCCGGAAAAGCGTTTCATGTGTTAGTAGTATCGTAATTTCTCTGATTTGAGCACGCTTAATATAAATAAAAGGTTTGGACTCAATTTCAGCATTTCCACATGGATTCATCTGCTCGTCTAAGACATTTCCTACATGATAACAGACCACTTATCTTGGATGGAGGACTGGCAACTGAACTAGAAGCTCAAGGAGCCAAACTACAGGTGAAGCTTGTAAACAAACTTATCTGCTGTATTATACCACACGTTAAAGCTGTTTATTAAGAACTACGACTTATTGGTTAATCTTGTTTAATTACCTGAAGATGATTGTGTTATATTTCCTTACTGGCCCTTTAACACTTGCATTGCTTCATTGTTGTCCTCTAGTTATTATGACTCAAGTCTCTCCGTAGTTTATTTACACTTTATTTTAGTTTTGTGAAGTTTAAAGCATTTTGCAAGATTTATATTGCTGTGAATGATTAAACAAATCCACTAGTTTGTACTTCTAGCTCTGTTCTTGAACATTTACTTTATGCTGCTGTATCTTAAGGCTGAGAATTCATTATTGTTTACGTGATAGTATAATATTTGTGAGATAAACTCCTTAAAAATAGCTATATGTGATTTGTATCACAAGATTAGTCATCATGAATGTTGATTTTGTTTAAAAGACCAGATATTTAGTATGTTTTACAGTACAGACGTCTAAATGCATAGAGATTTTCAAAACCAGACTGAAATGTTTGTGTGTGCACCTGTAGGGAGATCCTCTGTGGAGTGCCAGGCTTTTGCACACAAATCCTCAGGCCATAAAAGATGCTCATTACAGGTGGGTTCATGCAAAACATGAGATGCAAATATCAGTGGTTAATTGTAACATTAGCTTCTGACTTCAGATTTTCAGCTAAAAAACTTTTAACTGTTTGGATTTTGTTTAAGTTACAGTAAAGTCAATGTTTGGACAGAAGAAGTTAGAAGAAAATGCAATATCTAAGAATTTTTGGAACTTTAGATCAAATTAGCAATGTCAGTGCACTGAAAAGATAAGTACCAGCTGTGTGACTTACATGTGTTACTTCCCATGAACAGTTTTCTGTTCAGCGGTGCTGATGTCATCACGACAGCAACGTACCAGGCGAGCATCCAGGGGTTCATCAACCACCTAAACGTGAGCCCTAATGACGCCAGAGAGCTCCTGATGTCTGGGGTTCATCTGGCTAAAGAGACGGCTGCAAGCTTTGCATCTGGTAACAAACGTTCAAATCAGAGCAGAGAAGCTGGTGTGTCTGGAAGTGTTGTGATGCCCTGCCTGTTCGTGTCCTAAAGGGGGGAGAAATCCGTTTGTGGCCGGGTCAGTCGGACCATATGGAGCCTTCCTTCACGACTCCTCAGAGTACACTGGAGCTTACGCAGAGGACCTGAGTGTTGAAGTGAGCTGCTCCTAAATACTACTGATTCAGTAAAACCATAATGCTTCAGAGGGTTACCCAGACAGACTGCTAATCAGTTTATCAATGCATAAAGCACCTTTATTACTAATGTTTCATTATTAATTTGTTTTTGTCATGTTTACATTTTACTCCTGCAGCTTTAGCAATTTAAAAAAATACCATCAAAATGTGCAGCTCAGTCAATGGAAGAGTAAAACCCTCTGAATTTCGGCATTACTTGCACTCGTGCAGCATAAACAAAATTTCCAACAAACTAAAAAAATAAATTATAAACAAAAGAGTTTTACCAAAACAAGTGAGAAAATGCTTTTCATTTTCTTAATTTTTCTGTCTTTTTGATTTGTCATATCTCCTACATTAATTACTGTACACACACAAAAAATGTGTAATGATCACTTTATATTTTTCAGTCTTGTAGTTTTTGCACAGTGATGTATGTTTGAGGCTTACTTTTTACTCTGTTTCAATCTGCCAGTCACATGAAGCGTGTGTGGTTACCCTGGTGACCCCAGTGAGCCACTGACAGAGGATTTTATCTTCTTTTATACATCAAAACACCATTTTGTAAGCTTAGATTAATACAAAACAGTCCTAAATTACTACAGGGCTCTAGAGAAGATGGAGTTTCTGACAGTAGCTGCATTGAAACCCTTTAAATGTTAAAATACGGTATCAGCAGAGTAAATTGTTCATTTACCTGTAGGATAAAATAACAACAAAGGATCTCTTCACTTTAGGAGCTTAAAGTTTGGCATCGGCCGCAGGTCGACTGCTTAGCTGCAGCAGGATCTGACCTCATAGCTTTTGAGACGATCCCGAGCCTGAAAGAGGCCGAGGCTGTGGTGGAGCTGCTCAGAGAGTTCCCCAACTCAGTCGCATGGCTGTCTTTCTCCTGTAAGGTAACCACTACTGGTAAAAACTGTCAGCTCGCGTTGAACTCGCAGTGACAAGATGATTCGCGCTGCGCTAACCCTCCCCAGGATGCGAAGCATATTTCAGATGGCAGCCTGTTCGCCGATGCTGTGAAGGTCGCCAGCAGGTCGTCCCAGCTGCTGGCTGTAGGAGTCAACTGCTGCCCTCCAGCTGTGGTGGAGCCCCTGTTGGACTCTGCCAGGTCCCTGCTGAGCCCCAACATGAGCTGGGTGGTGTACCCCAACAGCGGAGAGGAGTGGGACACGGAGCAGGGGTGAGTCTTCAGCTGCACTGAACACTGAGTTTCATGAAGAGAATAATGTTCTCTGAAAACTCAACGGTGAAGAAATGTATCAAAATTGATACTAACACACTGTCCAAAAGTTAAAACAATTTATTTTTTTGAGAAAAACCACAAATTTAAATAAAAGGGCATCTACTTAAAGTTAAACTATAGTTATCATTTTTTATTTTTTGTTTTTAATCACATTGTTACATACAGAATGTTCACAATCCTAATAACAGTAACAATATAATCAATATTTTGCACACTGAGTGATTCTTCCTTTTTAACGCATGACACGTGTATGTGTGTGTGTGTGTGTATATATATATATATATATATATATATATATATATATATATAGTTACTTCGAGACAAAGGCTGGTTGTGGGTTACAGGTTACCCAGAGGCCCCCCTCTCGGACCCAGGATCCGCCTCCAGCCCACGTCACTTCCCCCGGCTCGAATCTCTCTCAGAAGTGGCAGCTCATACTAACAATAAATCAAGGAAACATGAATTCAGTTTTACCAACTGTATTAAAATCAAGGCAGGAAAAGGTTACAGTTTACAGCGCTGGTCTCTCCGGTCTGTGACGCGTTCACAAACTCGGAAGAACCCCAATGTCCTGTGTCATTACTCATTTATAGGGTCCTGGACTACTCCTCAGAAGAGGAGCTCAACCTGTCAGTGTATGAGGGGGAGTGACTAAGTTTGATCTCAATGGATCTTACATGGACTGACGTGTAAGGAAATATGATACAATGCTTCAAAAGCCTTTCTACGTGATGTAGCAAGCAGAAATAAACTCTATTCCTTGACGGATATTGAATCCCTGGGAGGCTCTTTTTAGAGTTGCTGCTGACCCAGTTTAACCCAGTCAGAACCGTGTCATTATTTCATTATAATCCCGTCTCTGAGCAGATCCAAACCCCAGGACCAGTCTAGATAAATATCTTAACTATATATATATATATATATATATATATATATATATATATATAGTAGGTTGTTAATGAAATCAGAATAAAATAAATAAGTGGTACACCAGTGTCCCTCGTCACTGAGGAATTGAAATAGTGAATGTTTGTAGTTTTTGAGATGAGTGTTTTTCAGGACTGGATTTTGATGTGGTGATCCAATTTCTGATGGGGGACATTCTTAGACTTAGTTGTAGCCACACACCCAAATAAAAGTCGACACTGCACTTATTTTTCAACTTATCATGCTCACAACACAGATGGACATTTATGTTGGCAGCCATCTTGGATTTTGACACGGCAACCCAATTTTGGAGCTCCACGGGAGAGATTGCTTAAAAAAAAGACAGACTGAAATTTTCCATGAGACATTTTACAGACCTACCAAATGTGGCCAAGTGTGCACAGGTTTCAGTTGAGACTCAAACTATCCATCAAGGACAACACTATCCTCACAGTAAAGCATGGTGGAGGCAGCATCATGTGGGGATGGTTTCCATCAGCAGGGGCAGGCAGAACACCTGGTCAGAGTTAAAGGAATGAACAGGTAAAATATAGAGATGCTTAGTGTTCCAGAGCTCTGAGTCTGGTACAGAGGTGACCCTGAACACACCACTGAAGCAACACTTTAGTGGTTTAAGGAGGAACAGGTAAATGTTCTGGAAAGAACCAGCAAGACAAGAAGCACCCATCCAACCTGAAGGAGTTGCAGCAATTTGGTCATGAAGACCAGACAAAAAATTCTAGTCTCTCGATTGACCGGGCTCATGGAGACATATCTGGTTTCTAATACTTTGCATGTGCAAATTTTGAATTAGCCTTTTTGCAAAGTAGTAGTTATGATGTGTAAATTAAATGTACATGAACCCTCCAAAAAAACACTACTGCCCAGGTCGTAAGACACCAAAACCTAGAGAATACAGAGGATAACAGGGTGGGGTGTGAATATTTTTGCAACCTACAGTACAAAAGCGTAGAGTTTATCGTCAGGTGGTGCAGTTTGGTTTAATTCCCAGTCCGGGGGCCTTTCTGGGTGGAGTTTGCATGTTCTCTCCGTGCATGCGTGGGTTTTCTCCCACAGACCAAAAACATGCATGCTAGACTGATTGGTAACTCTAAATTGTCTCTAGGTGTGAGTGAGAGAGTGAATGGTTGGTTGTGTCATTTGTCTCTATGTGTCCCTGTGATGGAATGGAGACCTGTCCAGGGTGACTGCTGGATATGGGCACCAGTGACCCCCGTGAACTGAAAATGAGGAAGCGGATAAAGATAATGGATGGATGGATTTACGCCACTGCCGATACATGATTAGAGGCGATACGTTTCAGTTACAAAATAGATCTAGGTGGTTCATGCAGAGGTTCTTTTTTTATTTTTATTTTACAAATGCTTCGTTTTTCTTTCTGTATAAAGATGGCAGACATCTGGACAGACGTCAGGATGGATTTCTGAGTTGAGTCCCACGTGGCTGAAACAGGGTGCTGCTCTGATAGGTAAGACTCTTCCATCCCTTCATCTCCTGTTTTGCAATACTTCTGCTGAGCTGCGTGCTTTTTCCTCCAGGTGGATGCTGCCGCATCAGTCCTGCTCACATTTCAGAGTTAAAACAGCAGCTGAAAGGAAGCTGAACTCCTCCATCAAAAACGAACGACTACTCACACATGAAGTCAAGCTATGGTTAGAACGGTAACAATCCTTACAGCAAGTTGCAAGCATCATAATTTGAAAATCTCATTACATAACTTGTAAAAGAGCCATACATGTTGCTGGTTAAAGATATCGTCATACAAGGCAATATTTTGTGTATTCTGTACCACGCTTCGGTTAGACCCAGGCAGACTAGGGGAGCAGGAAGTTAAAAAAAGATGGATTTATTAATAAACAAAACAAAAGGCTGACGTGGCAGCAGAACTTACATTAAACATGGAGCAATCAGGAACACGACAGAAATGAGGGAAACACAGGGAGGGCTGATGATTTGATGATTATCACCGTTATTACAAACGGGTGTGAGTGATAAGTGGCTGGAGAGAGAGAGACTGAGGAGTGGTGAGTGGCACGGAAACACAGAGTCAAAACACTAGGATCAGAAGAGAAAATACAAATCATAAGGGGAATAGAGACAAGAAAAACTCTAACCAAAAACACAGATTACATCAGTACCCCTGCCTTTCTTGGTTTTCTTGTACAAAATCAAGAATCAAACTGGGTGGGTGGAGGGGAAAAAACCAGGACGGAGGGCACGAAGGAAAAACAAAGATCAAAATCTAAAAACGGACAGGACCTGGGACGACTCAAAATGCAGAACACAAAAATTCATGCAGAACGGCCCGGGCACCATCCAGAGTGAGACGAGAGTTCAGGCGGATGGCACGGAAACTGTCCATGGGTGAGAGGTGTCCACCTGGACACTCTTGGAATCAGGTGGACAAGACCTGAAGAGACCACAGGGGAGGCTGTGGTGGCAGACGGCAAACCAGTGATGAAAGATGCAGATGTAGACACCAGAGAGGAGAGAGCTGCAGCAGGCGACCTAGTAATGGTGGATGTGGCAGAAGAAGTTGAACCAGTGATGATGGGGGCAGCTGCAGTGGCAGATGGTGATGGACTGGAGAAGGAGGCTGCAGCAGACCAGGGGACCAGGGGAGCTGCATCTGATGAGATCAGAGGAACTACAGTGGCCAATGAGAATGTTGAGACTGAAGCAGGAGAGACCACAGGGACTGCAGAACCAGGGGCAGAGCAGAGGTCGTCAGCCCCGACACCCAAGGAGTGACTCAGAGGAGGTGGATCATCGTTCCTGACAACCACGGAGAGACATGAAGGAAGTGGGTAGTTCCTGGCACCCACGGAGAGACAGGAAGGAAGTGGGTAGTTCCTGGCAACCACGGAGAGACAGGAAGGAAGTGGGTAGTTCCTGACAACCACGGAGAGACAGGAAGGAAGTGGGTAGTTCCTGACAACCACGGAGACACAGGAAGGTGAAGCGTCATGGCCAACCTCCACACAGACACCGGAGAATGGGTTTGGCTGTTTATTTGACTGAGTAGGACTCGGCTGCTTCGTCAGCTGAAGGGGGTCCTCCGGAGGTTCAGCCTCACCAGGCTGCTCAGAAACCCCCGGAGGCCCAACTCTGCAGGGCTACTTCTGCTGCTGAGACCCTGATGACTTCCATGTCACAGGAGACTGACAGAGAGAGGGCTTGGGTTCTGCAGACCTGGTTTGGGTCTGCCGTCGGCCCCTCTTAGTTGGTGATGAGGAGGGAGGTCTTTACTAGGGGTTGAATAGACAAGTCGACTAGTCAATTCTAGGACATCTCGCGAGTTTTTAAATTTCACGTCAACTAGTCGCAGTCAGTGATTGTGTCATGTGATCAGCGCCGGCTACAAAACGGATTCTTCCAAGCAGATGGAAGGCGAGGAGCTGGCAAAGTCTTCCCAAACAGGTAGAAATACATCAACAGTGTGAAGCATTTCACTAAAGATGATGTTTTTAATTTCATTTAATCCACTAAATAAAATAAATTAAAACAACAGGTGTGCTCCACCAGAGAATCCACCACCGCCGTGTTCACCGCGCACCACCTAGTGTTGATTCTGGAGTCCATCAGAATAGGTGTGTCAGATTGTCCACAGGTGGACCTTATAATTAATCATGGAATGGTTAGAGGCTTCAAAAGAAAGGGGTGAATACATTCAGCTTTCTGTTTCATATAAAAACATTTAACTTCACTTGGAGCATTTAGTGTTTAATTAACGTCAAACTGAAAATCTGTCATTTCCAGACTGTAAGGCAACAGAACACCAAGGGGGTGAAAGAACCACAGCTGAAGGATGTGCCGTGGAAACTACGCTGACAGATTCCAGATGCAAGAACTTTAATAGTTATTTGAAAAAGATTGGTCTACTTATGTGTTCAGTGTTTGTCACAAGTTTAAGAAACTATAAAAACCTGTTTTCACTTAGTAAGTTTTTGAGTTTAGGTTAATAAAATAATAAATCTTGATACAGAACTTTGTCGTTTCTTTAACAAAACAAGGGAGGACAACTTGTTTTAGATTATTTTAGTGTAAATTTGTGATAAATGATGCAGACTCAATATACAGTGTGTCAAGCATCTTTTAGGTCTGATGAGAAATAAACGATAGTTCCAGGATGTTTTTTAAATCTGAATTTATTGTAAAATAAACTACAACAAACCCACTGGAGAAGGCCAGCAGGATCACATCTGTGTGGGATCAAACACAAAAGATGCAAACAGAAGTGTAGGAAGGAGCCTCTTAATCTGAAAACAAACCACCTTTATTTTGAAGGCCGAGGGACGCCGTGTCCGTACAGCTCCTCTCTTCTAAAAACTTTTAACACAACTGGAGGAGTCAAAAAGCACGAGAGGAAAACACCAGCAGTTTTCACAACACTTTGCACAGGATTTGCACTGAACTAACCACCGAGCATCACGTGTGAAACACGTCCACTTACTGTACAAAGAACTGTGGCTCGTCATCTTTAATTAACAAGTCTCGTGCAAATTAATTAGACTAACCTGTATAAATAATAGAGATTAAATGAATTCATGTTTCTGACAGAAGTTGGTCATAAATCAAGGAAAGTGTTAGCCCTCCTGCTGCCCTTGGGTCAGAAACACTTGTCACTCTGACCCAAAAGGCAACAGAAGCTGCAGTACGGTGAAGGACGTGAAATTCACAGGAACATGTTTGATAAGACAACGAAACTATGAATCATGCTCCCTCCACATTCAGAGGGATAAAATATTAAACACTTATTGTTTAAATAACGGCAGCACGGTGGCGCAACTGGTAGAGCTGCTGCCTCTCAGCGAGCAGGTCCTTGGTTCAAACCCCGGTCCAGGGGCCTTTCTGGGTGGAGTTTGCATGTTTTCTCCGTGCATGCGTGGGTTTTCTCCGGGTACTCCGGTTTCCTCCCACAGACCAAAAACATGCATGTTAGGCTGATTGGTAACTCTAAATTGTCCCTAGGTGTGAGTGAGAGAGTGAATGGTTGTTTGTCTCGTTTGTCTCTATGTGTCCCTGTGATGGACTTGCGACCCGTCCAGGGTGTACCCCGCCCCTCGCACAGTGATTGCTGGACATGGGCACCAGCGACCACCGTGACCCAAAATGGAATAAACGGGTAAAGAAAATGGATGGATGTTTAAATAACATTTATTTTTAGATTGTGAGGTTTGGGTCTCTGTTCTCTCAGTAGTTTTGTGCTTATTTTTGTGCCCTCTGAGCAGCACTTCCATGTTCCTAGGCCTCCCACAATAACACATTTTGCTGGCCTGGGCGATTAATTGTCTCAGAAATTATTGTGATAAACGATAATATTGTTTGAAATTTGACAAGAATTAGTAATTAATGACAAATTTAAGAGATGTTTTATTAAGGGCAGCACTATGCCGCAACTGGTAGAGCTGCTGCCTCTCAGCGAGCAGGTCCCCGGTTCAAACCCCGGTCCAGGGGCCTTTCTGGATGGAGTTTGCATGTTCTCTCCGTGCATGCGTGGGTTTTCTCCGGGTGCTCCGGGTTCCTCCCACAGACCAAAAACATGCATGTTAGACTGATTGGTAACTCTAAATTGTCCCTAGGTGTGAGTGAGAGAGTGAATGGTTGTTTGTCTCTATGTGGCCCTGTGATGGACTTGCGACCCGTCCAGGGTGTACCCCGCCCCTCGCACAGTGATTGCTGGACATGGGCACCAACGACCCCCGTGACCCAAAATGGAATAAGCGGGTAAAAGATAATGGATGGATGTTTTATTAATTTGTTTTGCATGTAGTACCTTTTTTGACCACTAGATGGCAGTACAAAACTGTTTGAACCGAAGGATGGATAGTGAGGGAGGGAGCGGCGTGTGTCTTTAAGAAAAATGGGAGGGAGGTCTCTTGACGTGACATGGACTGTTTCTCTTCAGTTCTCAAAATGGCAGACAGTGTGGTTTGAGCTCTTTAGCATAGCATTTTTCCACACAAAGCTTTTAATAAAAAATAAAAAAAATCAGTAAATAAGTTCTCAACTTGAGACCATCTTATCACAAGCAGAACTGGTTTGTTCCACTTTGGAGTAAGCTGTTGGGGGAAGAATCAGTTTTGTTGTGCGTTTCCTTGACTGATGAAGCCTTCCAGACCGAAGGTGAAACGTTTCAGCACGAAAAAAGAAACTGTCCAGATGACCTGACTGAAAAATGTTGGGAAGTTCTCAACTTCTTTTTGCAGAGAAAAACAACTTTTTAGACGAAGGCACGGATTTCAACCGTGAATTTTGGAGTTTCGACAAGACGGAGCTGTTTTGAAGTGAGTTTGTTTCTGTGTAAAAACTATAAATATCTGTTGCAGGTAGCTCTTTGAACGAACTCCATGAGAAACGGTACCGTTCTGACAGCAAGTCCAAATGCAGCAGAAACATCTCCACACACCACCAACTTTATAAACAGACTGTTATCTACATCTTTACATCACAGTCCACACACCATTATCTTTACTAATATTATTAAGTTCATATTATATGTGACCTCTGGGTGTGACGGCTAATCCACTGCTGTCACTATTGGTGCTAGAAAAACAAAATCATACTGTAATTCCACATAAACAACAATGTAATCCTAAATTAACTGGTGTGCAAAGGTTTAAAAAATGACATGAGCATTAACCTTTATGCAGTTTTGGATTGTTTTTTTAAGAGCCACAGTCCTCTTTGAGCTTGGTTCTTTTTGTTAGCTGTTAGCTTATCAATCCAGTCGAGCCTGAATTATTTCTCTAAACGCAGGCTGTTCAAAAAGCTCCCTACAAATGGTAAGAAGTTAGCGCTGAACACTGAAATTCACATCAGAGTGGCTGAACTATCCCTTTAAGTCTTTGCAAGAATGACCTAAAGCAGCTTATTCTCTAACAAAGTGACGTTTTGAGTGTTTATACTAATGATAAACTTCATCCATGGCCCATCGGAGCCCCTTGTTCTCGGCTCGGTGGATGATCTTGCCTGTTAGCCCACACCAACCGTTTCAGTCCGTCATGTCCTCCTCGAGGTCGCTGTCGGGGGAACTCCTCTGTCTGTGCTCCGTGGTGTTGGACAGGCGCTTCCAGCTGCTGTCCTTCTGACTGCCCATACTCTGAGAGCGTCCCAGCGGGCCCAGGCGCTTGGACGGCATTCTCTCCTCTGAGTCCTCAGCCACGCCACCGTGGGCTCGCTCAGTGCCGGAGTGGTGAAAGTCGTGCCGCAGGTTCTCTAAATTTAGCGCCCAGGGGCCGAGCTTCTGCCAGTTCACTCTCTGAAAGGCCATGATGCAGTGCAGGTTTCCTCCCACCTAAAAAACAAACAGTCCAGTTAAAAACTAATGTGCACAGATCAGCTCTGAGCAGAATGTGAGCGCGGGAACCTTTTTGGTTTTGCGTTGCTGAATCCCCCTCTCTGTGTGACGAATGTCCAGGTATTCAGGGTTCTGCGTGTTGAGGTCAGTCACAACGTCCAGCCATCTGCACAGAGAAGATCTTGTTAAGCAGCTCGACAACGGCAGATCATTAAATGAATGAAGAAGAAAAAACATTTAGAGACCTACTTTTTACAGTGAATAGCTGGATGCTTTCTACTGGGCTCACCAATTAAGATCCAGTATTCTGTTTCATTTGTGGGTAGTGGGCCCCTTCAGGCAGGAAAAATAACATTTATAAACAAGTAGTTCATGAACGAGACAAGTAAAAACACTGTTTTTAATGTGAACCGAGCTCCTTTTGAACAAATCTTACATTTGAAAAGCTGTATTAGGGCATTTCCCCACAATTTGAAATAAAACTGGACGTTCGTGTACCTGTAAGCCTTCGCTGCTTTGAGGGGCGTGGCCTCGAAGCCCACGGGGCAGAAGTAATGGTTCTGACAGTGGTAAATGTAGGCCATGGACTCGTCCTTCAGCCCCTGCGTCAGCTTCAACAGAGCGCCTTCAGCTGAAGGGCAGAGACACGTTTTCACACCTGTTGCTTTCTAAGCCAACATGCAGGTGAGCTCACCTGTTTCTCCGGCAGTCTTGTGTTTTCCGTGCGGTTTGTACAGAATATAGGAACAACCTCGCACACGGAAATTGTCGTTGATTTGTCTGAACCATCTGGAGGAAAAAAACAAAACACTTGAGTGCTGCGATGAGAGATTTTCATCATATATGTGTAAAAACCTAAAGGAGCAGCACGTGCACCTCATCAGAGTGGCGTTGCCGGTGAAGGGACCAAACTTTATGTCTTCAAAAGGCGGCTGAAAGCCCAGAATGTGCAGAGCTTCCTCCTGAGAGATGGGAGGAAGACTACCAAAACAAACACGCATGAACTTATCAAGAAATAGCTGCTGCAGCGATGATCCAAAGGAGCTGTGGTCACACACTAACAATGCTGTCCAGTCCACACATTCAGGTTAAACATGACCGGGGAGAACAAACCCACTGGTCTGAGTCAACGGAGTCAACTCCTCATTAATTAAACCTTACGCTTGGATATTAAGAGGACTACGTCAGCTAGAAGAACAGAATACCAAACAGAAAGACAAAATAGATGCACTGAACATGGTCAGGAGAACCTCCTGGTTTGTTGTGTGGTCAACAAAGCACATCAAATGTTCTGTAGTTGACTCGGAGTGAAAGCAGGAGTCTTCACATGTTTCCATAAAAAATAACTAAACATAAAGTGGATTAATGCTCTTTCAGTAGCAAGCTGTCATCTTGTTACTTGACGAGTTCCCTGATCATCTCACCCCTGACCAAAGATCTCTGATACATATTCTCATGACGGCAAGAAAAATGATCACGGTCAGTTGGATGAAACCCGACCCACCAACTAGTGATCAATGGATTCCAACAATAAGACAACAACAATTAACAGCTCAACTTCAATTTAAAACACAGAGCTTTGAAAGACTGTGGGGACCTATTGTTGACTCTCTTGTTGTTTTTATTTTTGTTTTAATTTGACCCTGTACAAATGTGCATTGTGTTTTTGTTGTTGAAAAGATGGCTCAATCTCAAGACTAAACAGTTTGTATGTGATTTGCCTTGTTCTTGTTTGGCAAGAAAAGTAAAAAATTTAAATTAAATTTAAAATACAGATATAACAAACAATAGACTGATCTGAATCCAAAACGGTTTTTGTGCCGTGTTGTTTAATGAGAAACCCGTGGGTTGTACTGTGAAGTGAAATTAGCTGAAAAGCAGAGGTTTGTGCAACACAAAGGACTAGACGTGCACAGGAACAGCTCCATGCGTGCGTCTTTCTTTAACTTAATGTTATCTCGAGGACAAAAACAGATCAACGTTTCTGTGTTGTTCTAGTTTGACCATTTTAAATAAACATTTTGTTAAAAAACACTACATTAAAACTTCCCTAATCTTAAAAGTAAGTCAGTGGACCACATGTAGGTGTTGATCAAATGTTGGTCTTTTAATTACAAAATATAAACTCACATTTATCCAGGGACATAATGTCATAAATTTATGGATTCTAATATATTTACTGTGTGCTTGATCAAAACACGGTTTTTAAATTCTGAATCTCAGCATTAAACATGTAAGAAGTGTGTTGGAAACTTATAAACCTTTTCACTAGTTTGCACCTCTAAGAAGCTGCAGCATAAAAATTATTGTATCGTCCAACACATTACCATCAGAACCATCAATGAAACTGATGTGAAATGAGCTTTAAACTTCTTTTTGTATTGAGAGGTCTATTAAACTGTTAGTTCACTGTATTTCAGAGAATACTTAATAAACAGGGTCTTCATTAGTGATGGGTCCAATGAAGATCCCAGTAGGCCTCACTGAAACCTTTAGAGCCCACAGAGGGGGCTCTATTTAACTGAACCACATGAGCAGGTTCCCAGACGGAGCCAAAGTCCAACCACTAAAACTCGTTTGGTTTGCTCAGTGAACACACGTCGGGACAAAGTCAGAGTTTCATAAACTTCTGAAGTGTCAGAGCTTTTGATCTTTCTGTAAACGGCTGGTTTAACTCATTAATAAAACTACACGTTCATGAGTGAAACCTCGGGGGGAGCGGAGTTTGAGGTGAGCAAAGAAATAACTTTTTCCTTTTGTTTTCTTTAATTAGAAGATTTTTATATTAAAAAAGTGAATTAATCAGAACCACCACTGTAGTACAGGTTCAATTAATGGAGTGCTGCTTCGTAAGCTTTTTTCAGATGAGGTAAGAAGCCATTTCAGAATTAACACTAGTACAAACTAGAGATGCACCAATCTTATACCAATATCGGTACAGATATCGAGGAGAAAAAAAAAACACTTTCTGGATCGGGTATCGGTGACAATGTGACCGATCCATGACTCGGCAGATCTATTCACTCTAATTCTATGCTTTGTGATCTGAGTGACGTCACGCGCTAACGTACTGACTGAACAAATTAAAGTCGTGTTGTTTTTACACGTTTGACCAAGCTTGTGAAGCTCTTGGTGTGTTTAAATGTGCTGTTATGGTGCAGAGTTTTCAATAAATTTGTAATTCAGTACATTCATGTCTGCGTTTAAAAAAAACAAATGTTTTAAATTAATTCAGCACTGGGTTTGTAAGTTCACACATCCAGGTAGACAACAAAAATGGCTAAATCATGTCATCTGGACCAGTTTCAGAAAAGGGTCCAGATGACATGATTTAGCCATTTTTGTTAATTCAGCACTGTTTTTCTGTATCAGATCAGTATCGACCGACACTAAACAGCAGGTATCGGATCAGAAGTGAAAAAAATGGATTGGTGCATCCCTAGTACAAATACCGGGTATACTCGCTGTGAAACATGGTGACTTCTTGTCCTGGACTACACTGTAACTTAAAGGCTGCGCAATAATCTAAACACCACAGTTCAGACTGACATCATTAAAGCACAAACTGTACCTCAAAGCCATTTTTAAACACGCAGAAGACGGTATGGCTCTTTAATGTCCTGAGAAGAATAAATGGGTGACTGCTCACCTCCCTGCTCCCAGCGTGCTGTATAAGAAGTTCCAGCAAGACACCAAGGAGGAGATTCCACAAGAAGTCTTGTACTGCGGCCGACTGATGCAGTACCTGCAGGAGGAAGCATCCAGGTGATCTGCAGGTGGACTACTGCCTCACAGGAGAAGAATAAGGATACAACGCAACAAGAAAAGCTCTGCTGGTGTGACCAGACGAGCTCCTACTTCTCCAACATTTCCATTCAAGACAAAATAAGTTTTTGGTATTTCCAAAAACTAAATCTTTGCTAAAAGCTCTGTCTTCATTTTGGTTTTGGAATGACTCCATGAGCAGTGAAACACTGGTCTGCACCAAATGACACAATCTGTTCAAAGTCAGACAGAAACCTGAAGAGGACTTTGTGAAGCTGTTTTTGCTGGGTGGTTCAGAGATGTTGGGGGCCGTTCTGAATAAATTATATTCTTCACATTTCTCAAACATTGTTACAATGAATGTATGAAATCATGTACTTTGAACCAAACCTGTTGTAGTCACATAACATTGTTTTCTTTTCTTAGGAGAAACACGAGGATGGGGTGTTTTAATAAATAGTTCTGTCTTAGCAATAGTTAATTTTAATGTTAGTTTTTTTTACTTTCTTTCAAATCTTAAAATGGTTTAAAAAAAAATTTTCTGTTTGAAAGATGTATAGAGATTTATCCTCAAGATGTGAAAATCTTTTCTGGCAATCCCTTAGGACGTCACTAAACAACAGAAGAACAGGCAGAACGTTACCATCGCCGCAGGTCCAGCACTTTTCTCTGTTTGATCTCCTCCAGTGAGGCGTGGATGGAGACATCCTGCAGGTTCCTGCTGGGTCGGTCTGAAGACCTCATCTTCTTGGTGCTGCACTTCTTCCCATTGCCTGAAACACAGTGTTAGTCGTGGAGGCTACACATTCTCAAATTACAATCTGCACAGCTCTAAAGGAGCTTGGATATGCTCAACTGGAATTCTTACGTAACAGTAAGTTCTATGTCATATAGGCTTCGCCCTTTAAGGCTGTCGCTGATGGGTTTATCCCGTTATGCGTTGCATAAGCACTGAAAAAAATTAGTCCACGCCCACCTGCTGTGTGGGCCCCACCCGGTCCGTATAAATTACGTTAAGAGCGGGAAATCGGCTCCCATTTTTTCTTCAGCGAGCTAAAATAGCACTGTCAGAAGAACAAGAAGGAAAATTGTGTAGATGACCAACCTTTGTTAAGAATGCTTGGCCCGGCAGTCAACCTCCGGTCGTCCGGTGAGTTCTCCTCCCCGAGGAGAAGCTGACGAGCAGTCTTATTTCAAGGTAAGCGCCGAGGAATATTTTCCAGTGACAGGTCACTACACGCTGGACAACGCCATCTTGTATTTTTCCTCGTATCGCCGACCCTCGGAGCGAATCGGATGGTTCCTCCGGGGACAGGCGTGCTCAGCTGCAGCCCCCGCTGCTCATTCCCTCCTGGGGAGCGTAGTGTCGGTGGAAGGGGGCTGAGTGAATGCTCACCCCATCCCACCTCGTTTTTCGCATCGGCGATCACACCGCTCCCGGCCGACGGCGCCCCCCAGGGTTTGCCCGGTGTAGTGAACCTAACCTGATGTCAAATCTGACCAGATGGACAGAA